TGTAATGCAATGTTTTACATTCCATTTCCACTCAAGGATGCATTTTCCCTTGAGACCTGCATTATGTGTTGATTTCATCACAATCTAACCACAAGGTGATTTTCTCAAGGGTGAGAATCAAATACTTAATAATGATACAAAATCTTACCCTAGCTCGAACGCTCTCCATTTGAACTTAACAGATATCACAACAACCAAACTCTCTATTAGTCTCACCAAAGCTCCCCCGCTTTCTTCCGATTGATCACCACGAGACGTTTGTTGCTTTTCACTCGAAAAGTTCGAAGGTAATAAGTTTTGTTACTGTGAATGAAGATCTTATCTAAAACACCGTTATCTCGTTCGTCGCACGGATGGAAACCTTCTCGCCTATTTGGTGGTATATATAAAAATCAAATATGAATATTATGTGCTATGGGCGAGTATGGATTTTCTACTATCCAACCCGAATCCGTCCCAATTTTAGGGGTCATTTGAAAGTTGTGATTGTAAGTATTGTATATTTTAAATGCATGCATTCTCCACAATACAATGTTTGGAAGTATCAAGTTGCAAAACAATACATATATTATTTTATATGGGTCCCACCTACAATCAACAAAAATGAAGGATTGTACAATCTCAACTAAAGTTGAGATTGTTTGTTTTATAGTTGGACCACCTTTTTTCCCATTTATATCCATTGTTCCTTTTGTTTTATATTAAAAGTGGAGGGCAAATGTGAAATCTCTTTATAAAGTAACTTTTTGATAATCAATTCATAAAATACAATCTCAACAACCAAACAATGTAATGTCAAAATGCATCTATTGTATCAATGCATGCATTTATATCGTAGTGATGGCTCGTTTGGAAGTTGTGATTGTTAAATAGATGTATTTTTGTGAATGCATGTGTATCGTTGTATATGATGCATTGTAAATACAATGTTTGGTATGTGTGATTGTGTATAGGGGTGGAAGTTTGGGTTGCGGTTTGTGGATAATCCGGAAAAAGCACAAACCCACACTCATTGTGGGTAACAATACCCACAAGTTGTGGGTAGTAAAAAAATAATTTTTGTGGTTAGTGGTTATCCACTACCCACCGCGGCTAACCCACAAAATCTACAATAACCACATTAATTATATTTATTTACTGACTTAACTTTATAATATAATAATATGTAAAAAATGGAGGCTAAAAATTAAAGTAGCCACCAAAATCAAATACTCACCTAAGCAGTTTTATATGAGAATTTTTTAGTTTATAAAACACTATAATCGAGAGAGTGGAGAATAATCAATTCGTTAAAAGTGGACACCTTTAGTAACTTTTATCTGTATGTTTTTGCTTTTATGTGAAAGAAAATATAAGATCATGTTTAATTTTCATATTCCACCCCTAGTCGGTGAAATATGAAATCACAGCTCTCTGACACAAAAGTTGAATACCAAAACTCGAAAAATATAAAATCTCCATGAGTAAGACCGGTATACAAAATTGCATCTCAACGAACAACACAATTGTATATCACTATAGTCTAGCTAGGAATAGGGCTGGCTATTTGGTCCGGATTTTTTGGTTTTACCCGAAACCAGACCGTATAACCCGGACCGAGACCGGACCGGGACCGGATAGTAAACAATCAAATCAAATCTTTTGGCTTAGATTTGAGGTAAAAACCGTTCGAGACCGGATCGAAAACTGGATAAAGACCGGATAAGAGAGCTCAACAACCAAAACTTAAGGGTAATTTGCATAAACGGTCACAAACCTTTGCACTTAGTACAAAACTTAACCAACTCCTCACCCTTTCAAGCCTTAGGCCACTCAAATCCCCACAAGCTCAATATAAAATCAAGACCGAATTAGGACCGGACCGGGTCAAGACTGGACCGGATCAAGACCGGACTGTATCCGATCCAATCTTTGGTCCTTATATTTTCAAAAAGACCGGACTGGACCGGATCAATTTGGGCCAATTTAACCGGACCGGACCGTATAGCCACCCCTAGCTAGGAACACCAAATATGTTAGTGCCGCCTCAACTTCATGCTTGCAAAGAGGGATTTTTGCGGGTAACCACACCCAACTTGCACCAACCCGCAGTGGGTATACCCACTAACCATTGCGGTGCGGGGTGTGGGTAGCATAATTATAAATTTGTGGGTGTGGGAACCCGCCAAAATGTGGGGCGGGTAACCACATCCACCCCAATTTTCACCCCTAATTGTCTTTGTCACATCAGCTAAAAGCTGAGACAAAACAATCTCACCTCAACAATCTAAACAATCACAACTAAAAGTTGAGATATAAGAATCACTCATTTTGAGAGATAGTTTCTGTCACATTACTGAAACAACCCATGTATTGTTTCTGTTAAATTTTTTTTAAAAACGATGCATTCTATACAATACATGTGTAGCAACAATCTCACCAAAACAATCACAACTTTCAAACGAAACGTTAGATTTATATGAATATGAATATTTTTTTATAAACCATCATTCTCTCACATAATATTCGATATCGTGATACATATATAGCATCTTTATGAATTCTTGTTCTTTTTCATAATTTCTCTTAACGTTATAATTGTAACCTTTTCGTTTGTATATCGTACTGTGATCAAATACCACGTTTCACAGATGGTCAAATGTTCAAACGACCTAGTAGAGATACAAAATGTAAAAACCCTTATTATTGGATGCAGTGTTGAAATATGTGGATTTCATAATATATAATTTTCACATCAGATTTAGACGATAAAAACACGAATTTTCATAATCAAGTATTATTAGAGAACAGAAACAATTCCTTAGATTCCACAGATCTGTGCAGAGGAAAAGAGATAAGGGAGTCTCAAGAGATTCTATACACGAGATGAGTATGCAATACAAAGACTGAAGATAGTACAACACCGATTGCTTTTCACACAAACATAGAGTAATGGCTATTAAAGCGAAGCTAATTAGACACCTTAAAGGAGATGATGAGTATGATTGTGAATACAAGGGCGATGATTATGGAGTTCACAATCCACTTGTTTCTGGATAATGTTTGTGACATGGATGTTAAGACCTTCTTGCTCTTGTCAATGGCATCATCCACTCCAATCAACTAGGGGTGGTAATCGGTAAACCGGTATTCGGTATTACCGGACACTGTACCGGATACCGGCGGTATCTGGTATACCGAATATCGAAGGTATCGGTATTCGAAGTTGTGATTTGGCATAACGGTATACCAAATAATATCCGGTAATATACGAAGGTAATCCAGTATACCGGAATATCAAAATAGCATATATGAAATAAGGACAAATGCTGCTTACTTCTCCTTCCAGAACCTCAACCCGTGAAACTTAGAGCATATCACATTCCTGGACAGTGAAAGCTTCTTCGATCTGTGGTGGTAGAGATCCTCCAAGGAAACTTTCAATGGATGAACAACATCCTTGCCCCTTCTCTGCCTCCTTCCCCTACTGCTGCCACCTACCGAATACAAACACACAGAGACCCTTAGAGGTAGATCGGTTTCCATTCCATGACAACAACGACCACTGGGTTCCCCTACCTGACCAGATCTATGATTTATCCATCTAAAACACAACAACGACCAAATAATATGATGGACCACTAGTCAAAGAGTTGATTGGTCAATTTACTGCTTCTTTGGAAAAAGTACAGGCTAACTCTGCTCTGTCCATGCTGGACTACGTAGTTGAAACTGATACCTCAAGCTCAAAACTTCTTACGTTTTAATCAATACTACAAGCAAGCAACGTGCGAGGAAGGTATCATGTCACATCTCTTCTCTGCATGCCAAACCATGCACAAATCAAAAGAATAAAAAAGGACCAGACCTCGCATGCAATGAGAATGCATCATCACCATCTATAATTTCACAAGGTGTAGAGAGAGAGCATACAAGCTATACATATTCCATCTTTTGACACTTCTCTACATATAAAAAAATATTACAATCTGAAATATTTATTTACAGCAAATTTAGAACCCACAATTCAATGATTGCAGTTTTGGAAGAAAATGATCTATCCGGTATCTGGTATACCGGTTAAAATATCGGTAATCGAGTATCCGGTATCCGCATACCGGATATTTTTCGGTATCGGTATTCGGCGGCAGAATTTCAATTGTCTGTAAATCGAATACCGGTTACTCGGTATCCAGTATACCGGATACCGACCGATTACCACCCCTACATGCAGCTGTCAGAACAAGAAAATAAACAAGGTCAAGAAGATTGTTGACCATCCCTCAATTGCAAGAAGCATATGGCTCACAGCATCAAGAATTACATTAAGGCAACTCAGAAGTGATCGTGATTGATGTCTACTCATTAGTTACTAAGGACATGAAGACAATTATCAAACTTACTTTCCTGTTCCTCAACGCGTGTATTAATCTTATCGTTGAATTCTCCGTTTGATCCAACCAAATAATTAGGAACCTTGGTGAAGAAGTTGCCAATATAAGCAAATAGTAGTAGTGAAAGAGTGTTTAATTTGAAGAATTGTAACTTAAATTACTAAAATAACACTAAGAGAGTTTGAAGCCAAAGTCAGATTTTAAAGACAGAACTTAAAAGTCTGTGTACTGTGATCGAGATATTGGATCAATTGAGACACCAAGTCAACAGGTAACAACCAGTAGAACCTAAGCAGAGTTTGTGTTTTAAAGTCTAATTATTACAATACATACATTTAGAAACTATAATGCTCGCAGAAGCGTTGGGCAAGGATGTCCAAAAAACCAAATAGGGTTTACTTAGACAGCCAATTCCTTATGAGCTGAGAAGTGGACAGAAACTAAATATAGCAGTTCCCTGATTCATCCATATCGAAATGTTAATGATCAAATTCTGCTCTTCCCTACATTATCTATGTTAACCACTTGTTATGATGCAGAATTTTGACAACCTAAACATATAAGTCTTACTATAAGGACTATGGAATGTCCTTAGTCCCACAAAAGAACAAAAAGAGAGCAAGAGAATCATACCTTGTTATGCACATGCAGCAGGGTCTGCCGTTTTTGGTGCAAATCTTCAAGAATTGTGACACCAAGTTCTTCAATCTCTAGCACAGTCCTTCTATTGTCCCTAATTCTATCACTTGACTGATTTAGTCTATCTATTGACATAGGCAATCTTTCTGTTTGATCTCCAAACACCTACAACAACATTAAACCAAGCTAATGAACAAAATCTAGCTATCAAAATGACACACATATAACCATTGAGTTCATCACTAGGATGATTGGGACACTAACCTGCTTCGGCTATATCTCCCGGAAAGTGTTGTTTTGTAGGTGTAGGGTATTCCACCTCCCAAGGCGGGTGCGGGTGAGGAGGTGGCAACCTGGGGGCCTGAGACAAACGGCAAATTCCGTGCCCGATTGGCGTATGAACTGGAGACCAACCATGAGAGCCCGAGGATGAAATTCGAGTGGAAGGACATATGGAAATGGAAAGGACCAGCTAGGGCTAAACACTTCCTTTGGCTTGCGGCAAGGGAGAGACTTATGACGAACGCAGAAAGTGGAAGGAGACATTTGACGGACCAGACCACGTGCCCACATTGTTTTTCACACCCAGAGACAGTCCTGCATGTGTTGCGGGATTGTCAATTTGCCAGGTTAACTTGGATACGATTTCTCCAACCTCCTGACTACCAACAGGTTTTCGGATTATCTCTGCATGATTGGATCGCTCATTACTTGAAGCACGATCAGTACAGCCTCATTTTCGGCCTCGTTTGCTGGTCCCTGTGGAGGACTAGAAATGACCGAGTTTTCGCGAACAAGGTCATCACATTTGAAGGCTTTCTTTAGGCGTGTCCATGCTTGGATAATTGTCGTGAGGATTGCATTGGACAAGGACAGGAAAACACATTATCTTGATCCACCCACAAGAACGGAGGATTTGATCGCTTGTACGACGCCTCCTCCCGAGTGGGTCACTCTCAACTCAGATGACTCTGTTCTTCCTAAAAAGGTCTTGCTGCTGCAGGAGGCCTTATCAAGGATCACCTTGGACGCTGCTTTGCAGCATTTGCTATGAACCTGGGGATTTGCTCCATCACCCGGGCAGAGTTGAGAGGTGCTATTCAGTTGATTCAGGGAGAGGATACTTTGGATCCCCAGCACGCTGCGGTCATTGATAGACTCCATGAGCTTCTTCGGCGTGACTGGGATGTGACAATTTCCCATATATATAGAGAGCGGAATAAGAGTGCTGACTTTCTTGCTTTTAGAGGCCACAAGTTGGAATTTGGTTTCCACTTTGTACCCGTTACTGATCCTGCTTTATGGTTTTATCTCTTGTATGACATTGAAGGGGTTTCCGAATCCCGGCTGGTTTTGAATGAAGGTTAGGATGATTCGCATCCATTTATATAAAAAAGAACAAAAGTGACTGAATCTCAAGTCCTTTCCTCAAACCGAAACACTTAGAACTCAAAACAAGTCAAGAATCCCCAATTTCAACAAGGGAACACCCAGATTGAATCGGAGAGAAAAACTGACCAAACGAAAACAAAACAAGAGTGAAACGAGATGCTTCATAATGAAGAAAAGCGTTCGTTAATCCGATCTTAAAAGGTTAAATTTTATTATTTTTAATTGTCACGTAACTTATTTAACGGTCAACTCTTAGAGTTTACTGCCACGTTAGAAAAAGTTAACGGAGAGTGACCATACTTGAACTGTTGAACTAACTTGAGTGACTACGGATGCAATAAATTAATTTTAGTAATTCTAGTGACCAAACTTGCAATTTACCCGCAAATAAAGTCTTATCGATGTTCATGATCTCTATGGAGCTGCATTCAGACCTTGATTCGATCCCAGTAAATTTGTAAACAACATAATGTGGAATCAGTATGTCTGGCTTCGATAAATCCATTGTCGCCCATTTAATCAATGGAGGGGGGGGGGGGAATATTAGAGATGCCTATTAACCGCCCATTACTTCTTTTTTCACCCTCCACCATGTCTCCTGTTGAACATAAATATTATGGATAATACCTTAGTTTGGTGTAAATTTTAAACTAATAGGCTACTTTAGTCCGAATCTAAAAATATCTACCATGTCCAAATTTCAAAATAATTGGACCAATTTGGCCTGACCCTTGGTTGATCATTAGTATTAATGCCACATCAACATAAAATTAAGGGTTAATACCTTGTTATGGCCTGAACTATGACCAAGTAATCAACTTTGGCCAGTGGTTTGAGAAATTAACATCCTGGCCCGATCTATGCAGCATATTGACAAAATTGGTCTGGAGCGTGGTTTGACCGTTTGTTTGGACGGTCAACACCGTTGACCTTTAGTCAACTGTCCAGGTCACTGCCATGTCAACATAAAAAAATACAATTTCATTTTTATTTTTATTTCATTTACAAAAATTGAATAATTAAAAAAAAAAACAAAATCCAAAAATTTTGGCCCACCCATCTCCACCTTATCCCCTCACCTTCTTTCCTTTTCGGTCAATCCCTATTCCATCTTCTTCCTCCTTCTTCCCCGACGAGACGCCGCCTCCATTCCTTCTTCAACAAACATACCACAACTTTGATCTTGGCTACATTGTTGGCTCTCTCCTTATTCACGGAACCAGAGAAGCTCTTGAGAAGGCTACTCTCAGGCAGCCCTTTAGTGGATCTGCTTCCAACTTTGCCGGCCAAGAGATTTGGCTCGGATTCATCAAAACTTCTACCACGAGAGCTTCGTCGTTCATCGAACGAGTACCCTTCATAACCGCTCCCATCCTGCACCTACAGACCAACAATTCGCTACTACATAAGCTCGTTTCATTCTGTAATCCACAATTTATTCGTTTCTCAATTCCCAAAACCCTGATCCAATTCAGCTCCTAAAATTGATATTGTTTATGCCGAGTCGCCCCTTTCATCACGCCCTGCGCCTCCCTTCCTCGTGCGCTTCCAACCCGTGGGCCTGCTTGCACCCACAAGCCCCTAGCGGACCTAGATGGTCCGTTAGCACTCCCACGCTCAAGTAAGAACCTTATCTTCTAGAGAGAGAAGTGGAGAACAGTTCTAGTCAGAGAAGCCAAAAATGAGTAAATGAGGTTTACCTACTCCACTATTTATACATGAAGCTTGGTCGACCGATACCCGTCGCTCTCGCCCTGTGTCAGGTCCGCAATAAATGTGCCGTACACCCTTTATTCATGCGCCTCGACCGCATGACACCTTTGTCAGGCGTTTGAGGCGCATGACATCATATATGGTCAACTTTTCGTACACTTCCAACCATTGAGTGTCTTTTGTCCTATGCACCTCTTCCCAGGTGTCTGGCCTCACCTACCCAGCATACTTCTCTGGCTCTTTGGGCCGTCCACCATGCGCCCATAAGCCCATGCCTCCTATCTCTATGGGCTTCTTTGAGCCTCTCTGTCTGGGTCATCCCTGGCCCATGTCTATGCCCCCACTAAGCTTCCTTGGGCCTTTCCATCTGGGTTGCTCTTTGGACCACACTTTATGCACCCAAAAATTGCCCCCCAGTTAGGCGCCTAACATTCTCGATCAGGGGCCTAACTGCACTCGTTTCCATACTCCTTCGTTCCTGCTTCCTTTTATTTGGGCTTTCATGCGCCTTCTTTGCTGGGCTTAACGCGCAATGTCTGCTTCTCCTATGCCTGCCTCTTTCGCCCTCAACGGTACTCCACACACGCGCCCTTTTATTTGAGTTTTCAGATATCCCGCTTCACCGGTTCATGCGCCCTTTGTCCCCGTTCTACCATGGTTGCGTGCCCTCTTATCTCTTTCACGTGGGTTGCTCTGCGCCTCCTGCGGGTTCCTTCTTTTTTTTCATGCGCCCTTCTTCTTCTTCATGTCTATTCCCCCTTCTTCCCTCATTTTGCCTACCTGTCTATTCCACTTCCTACCTCGTTTTCTGAGCCATTATGTCCTTTGAGATGCCCCCATTTTATCTCCTCCCAATCTGCTTTGAATTTCGAAGTTGAGAGCGGATTGATGTGATATTTTTGCCTTCTTTTCCCCCCTTTTCTCTCTCTCTCTCTCTCTCTCTCTCTCTCTCTCTCCCTTCCCCTTTATAAACTCCATGCTCCGTGTACAGAATCCCCACAACTCCATTTTCTGTCTTCTCTCTACTTTCTCTCACTAAAACCATATCGTCCTGGTGCTTTGCCTCCTCCGCCATCCCGTCCACCCAGTCGCGCGCTCACATGCGCCCTCCGACGGCCAAGCCTCCGCCGCCGCAAATCCTCCTGTTACGTTCCCTCTTTGCCTCTTATGCGTTCAATTCCGTGATATCGCGAGGTCGTACGCTGCGACACCTTGTAAGAATCGAACCCAGTTTTGTCCATAGTTATAGATTCACATAGATTCGCATGCACCCTATCCCTCGCCTGTGTTGGATGGTTTATTTTGTGCGCCTTTCTCTCGCTTTTAGACTGCGCGTGCGCCTTGCTTCCGTTTTTTTACCTTACCTCTGCCCCTTCCTTTTACTTAGGCCCTCCCGTGCCTCGAGACTATATGTTCCGATCGTGGGATTTGATGTGACCACCTGGTTATGCGCCTCAGGACATCGCAGGGATGTCCGTAGACGACGCCGGTCCCAACCACGCCTCCAAGCAAGTGGGGGTGAGACTAGAGAAACTTGTCGTGGCCGTGCAAATGCCTGCGCCTTGGCGTTATGTCCATGCGCCCCCGGAAGCCCGGATCGGTGTTTGAGGTGAAGGATGGGTGGGCCCTTACCAAGAATTTATCTAGTTCGGCCTGCGCTTCCCCATCGAACTAGTTCTCGAAGGCGTCTTAAACGTCTGTCAGTGCCCCCTTGGGCGCCTTTCTCCCGTCGTCATCTTGTACACCATCGTCTTCCATTACAAATTTCGGCAACACAATATTCCCCCCACCTTTAAACTCTTCAACCATTTCTTCAAAATGACCAAAAGTCCAAACTGTCTGAGCTTGAAAAGGCGCACATCGCTAGGGTATGGCTTCATCAGCAGCTGCCAGAAGATGGGACACACGTGGTTTGACTCTTACTTTTTTTGTGAAACCCTGTGAGGTTCCCTTATTTGAGAGTGGGCGCCCCTTAAGCTCTCAATGGTACTTGGGCACTCGGTTTGACTTCAATAAGTCGGAGCCCCTAA